GCCCTATGGGACTCCCAGTCACGGCCGGTTGTGACACAGCCTGGGATCGAAACCGGGTCTGTCATGACGCCTCAAGCACTGCCTTAGACCGCTGTGCCACTCGGGAGGCCCTTCCTTCAACTTTCTAAAGACCCAACAGCATGCATGGGAATGCTTGCGCATTTGTCTATTACTTTCTTTGGAGTATGCAGCTGGTAAACCGCTTATGAGTGTGTCAAAGGAAACACGCTGTCCATCTGTAACGAAGAAGTCGCCGCACGACTGTCCAAGGTATTACAAAGGTTCAGCTCAGATGAGCCCGAGAGTCAGTAAAAGCCCACCCTGGCTATCTCTCCCCTAACCAGACGACATGGCAATTGTGATGCCTTATGGACTAGTCATGGCCGTGATTTGAAAACCATCCGTAACGGTCTCTCATCCATCCTCTCCGCATGCATTCAGTACCAGTGTTCAACCGGGAGAGCCAATTCTTCAACATTTTGACCACATCAGCAGAATCTTGGGCGCATTTCTCTATCACTCTTTTGGCACAATCAGCTTTGTAGCAAGTTAAGTACTAAATAGACAGAAAGCCTTTCCCCAAATCTTTCTCGATTAGATTTTAACTGCAAAGTAGGCTTACCTGGTAGAATGATATCATTACTATTTGTATCAATCAGGTCTGCGCTCAGTACGTTTTACGTTCTGTAATGTTCAATTGAACGGAAACGGTGCTGTACTGAGCGACCAGTTGAAAAACGGGGAGGGGTTTGGGAACGCGTCAGCATGGCCACTGCCCTTTAAAAACGTCACTCATTGCTTCAAGCCACACCGACCAAACATACCTCAAAGTCTGTTCAAGAACATACAAGAACATTTTGGGGAAACGTGTCGTTCAGTACAAACCGTTCCGCAATGTAGCAAATGTTCAATCGAACTGAACGCACCTCTGGTGGGCATTTGTTTAGCAAACTCTGCAATCACATGTGCAGTACAGAAACATCGCTAACCAAACACGGCTGTGTTCAGTACGGAAGAAACGGTGTGAAACGTTAAATTTAATGGAAGCGGTTGTTAAAAAACGGGGAAGGGTTGTGGGTTGAAAATGCACCGACGCCCTTTAAATACGTCACTCATTGCTTCAAGCCACACACTGCTACACCCACCAAATGGAGCAAATGAGGGAAAAAAGTATTTGATCCCCTGCTGATTTTGTACGTTTTCCCACTGACAAAGACATGATCAGTCTATAATTTTAATGGTAGGTTTATTTGAACAGTGAGAGACAGAATAACAACAACAAAATCCAGAAAAACGCATGTAAATTTTTTTATAAATTGATTTGCATTTTAATGAGGGAAATAAGTATTTGAACCCTCTGCAAAACATGACTTAGTACTTGGTGGCAAAACCCTTGTTGGCAATCACAGAGGTCAGACATTTCTTGTAGTTGGCCACCAGGTTTGCACACATCTCAGGAGGGATTTTGTCCCACTCCTCTTTGCAGATCTTCTCCAAGTCATTAAGGTTTCGAGGCTGACGTTTGGCAACTCAAACCTTCAGCTCCCTCCACAGATTTTCTATGGGATTAAGGTCTGGAGACTGGCTAGGCCACTCCAGGACCTTAATGTGCTTCTTCTTGAGCCACTCCTTTGTTGCCTTGGCCGTGTGTTTTGGGTCATTGTCATGCTGGAATACCCATCCACGACCCATTTTCAATGCCCTGGCTGAGGGAAGGAGGTTCTCACCCAAGATTTGACGGTACATGGCCCCGTCCATCGTCCCTTTGATGCAGTGAAGTTGTCCTGTCCCCTTAGCAGAAAAACACCCCCAAAGCATAATGTTTCCACCTCCATGTTTGACGGTGGGGATGGTGTTCTTGGGGTCATAGGCAGCATTCCTCCTCCTCCAAACACGGCGAGTTGAGTTTATGCCAAAGAGCTCAATTTTGGTCTCATCTGACCACAACACTTTCACCCAGTTCTCCTCTGAATCATTCAGATGTTCATTGGCAAACTTCAGACAGGCCTGTATATGTCCTTTCTTGAGCAGGGTGACCTTGCGGGCACTGCAGGATTTCAGTCCTTCACGGCGTAGTGTGTTACCAATTGTTTTCTTGGTGACTATGGTCCCAGCTGCCTTGAGATCATTGACAAGATCCTCCCGTGTAGTTCTGGGCTGATTCCTCACCATTCTCATGATCATTGCAACTCCACAAGGTGAGATCTTGCATGGAGCCCCAGGCAGAGGGAGATTGACAGGTCTTTTGTGTTTCTTCCATTTGCGAATAATCGCACCAACTTTGTGTTTCAGTTATAACTGTTGTCACCTTCTCACCAAGCTGCTTGGCGATGGTCTTGTAGCCCATTCCAGCCTTGTGTAGGTCTACAATCTTGTCCCTGACATCCTTGGAGAGCTCTTTGGTCTTGGCCATGGTGGAGAGTTTGGAATCTGATTGATTGATTGCTTCTGTGGACAGGTGTCTTTTATACAGGTAACAAACTGAGATTAGGAGCACTCCCTTTAAGAGTGTGCTCCTAATCTCAGCTTGTTACCTGTATAAAAGACACCTGGGAGCCAGAAATCTTTCTGATTGAGAGGGGGTCAATTACGTATTTCCCTCATTAAAATGCAAATCAATTTATAACATTTTTGACATGCGTTTTTCTGGATTTTTTTGTTGTTATTCTGTCTCTCACTGTTCAAATAAACCTACCATTAAAATTATAGACTGATCATTTCTTTGTCAGTGGGCAAGCGTACAAAATCAGCAGGGGATCAAATACTTTTTTCCCTCACTGTACCTGAAAGTCTGTTCAAGAATGCTGAAGAACATTTTGGGGAAATGTGTTGTTCAGTACAAAAACTGCCACTCAATGTAGCAAACGTTGAAACTAACTCAACGCACTCCCAATTCAAAAATGTAAATGGTTTGTTTTATCCCAGACCTCAAAATGTATGCATTGACAAGGACTCAGAAAATCCTAGTCGTTGTTTTTCTATATATAATTGTAATTTTGAGAGTGAAAAACTTGAAACCATTAAAAATATAACTGAGAAAATGGAATTTGGGAAAAATGTATTCTATAGGGCCCTAAGTGAGTTAGTGAGGGAAAGAGGGTGTCGAGTTAGTGAGTGTGGGAAAGAGGCAGTCGAGTTAGCGAGTGAGGGAAAGAGACTGAATGGGTGAGTAAGTGAATGTCAGTCGGTCCCAATCAACTCCCCATGGCTGTGTGAAGTTGCTGGATATTGGCGGGAACTGGAACACGCTGTCTTACACGTCCATCCAGAGCATCCCAAACATGCTCATTGGGTGACATGTCTGGTCAGTATGCCGGCCATGGAAGAACTGGGACATTTTCAGCTTCCAGGAATTGTGTACAGATTCTTGCAACATGGGGTCATGCATTATCATGCTGAAACATCAGGTGATGGCGGTGGATGAATGACACGACAATGAGCCTCAGGATCTCATCACGGTATCTCTGTGCATTGAAATTGTAAACGATAAAATGCAATTGTGTTCGCTGTCCGTAGCTTATGCCTGCCCATGCCATCTGCCTGGAACAGTTGAAATCGTGATTCATCTGTGAAGAGCACACTTTTCTCAAGCGTGCCAGTGACCATTGAAGGTGAGCATTTGCCCACTGAAGTCGGTTACGACGCCGAACTACAGTCAGGTCAAGACCCTGGTGAGGACGACGAGCACGCAGATGAGCTTCCATGAGACGGTTTCTGACAGTTTGTGCAGAAATTCTTCAGTTGTGCAAACCCACAGTTTCATCAACTGTCCAGGTAGCTGGTCTCACATGATCCCACAGGTAAAGAAGCCTGATGTGGAGGTCCTGGGCTGGCATGGTTACACGTGGTCTGCGGTTGTGTGTCCGGTTGGACGTACTGCCAGATTCTCTAAAATGACTTTGGAGGCGGCTTATGGTAGAGAAATGAACATTAAATTCTCTGGCAACAGCTCTGGTGGACATTCCTGCAGTCAGCATGCCAATTGCACGCTCCCTCAAAACTTTAGACATCTATGGCATTGTGTTGTGTGACAAAACTGCACATTTTAGAGTGGCCTTTTATTGTCCTCAGCACAAGGTGCACCTGTGTAATGATCATGCTGTTTAATCAGGTTCTTGATATGCCACACCTGTCAGATGGATGGATTATCTTGGCACTAACAGGGATGCAAACAAATTTGTGCACAATTTGAGATAAATAAGCTTTTTGTGCGTATGGAAAATGTCTGGGATCTTTTATTTCAGCTCATGAAACATGGGACCAACACTTTACATGTTGAGTTTATATTTTAGTTCAGTTTAGTTAACACCTGTAAAGTTGTCTGTTTCTTTTAGGGACCAGGGAGAAAACACAAAAACAGTGGAAATATTGGTATTGTGCAAAATGTCATCAGTTTGACCAGTTTTAAGGAAATGAAAAACTGAGAAAACGATTAAAGACGTTTCTGATAAGACTTCAGTTGGTCTTGGGTGCATATTTTATGTGGTTGAAATACTGTCTGCTTGCATAAGAAGTGTCAAACATAAGACATTAGACACGCATTGATTTTCTCAAGAGATGCTGAAAGAAAGAAATCTTATTTCTCCACTACTGTTCCCGAGACAAAATTAACATTTGTTGTATCATTTTACTGCAAGAAATGCATAATTCTGCAGGAGTTCATATTATATTATGCTACATGTGAAAGGTTATAGGCCTACAGTCAGTGGCCATATTTCAGTTACTATTCCATTTAACCCATATTAATTTATATTAGGAATATTCTGTTTATTCATAGATACAGGGATACTTGTGAATGGGATATCAAAGGTGCATGTAAACAGTTTATCCCGAATAAGACCTTAAGCGGGATATGAGCTACCATCCGGTATACCGTGTGCGTGTAAACGTGTTCACTATATCCAAAAATCTGTTTTTAGGGAGTCCCCTGAACATGTGGCATAAAACAACCAATCAACGGTCTTCCGTGATTAAAGTTTTGACCTCTGAACTCTGTCCAGCAACAACAGAGTGAAGATGGCGGAGGTTGATTTTGGTGACAGTGAGCTCTTTGAACAATTGGAAGAGAGTATGCCTGTTGCTACTCACATTCGGTTCACTGAGGAGGGTGGAGAAGAAGGGTCTGAGCTCAAGGAAAGATTGGAGGAGTGTGAGGAGACAATCCGGAGTCTAATAGAAGATAATATCCTTGTGTGAGAAGCTAGCGGGTGCTAGCTAGCTAGCCACCATGTCTGTGGCCTAACGTTAGCTAGCTAGCAAACGACACATTTTAATTTCACCGCTCACCCAGTCACTGGTTGGACGTGCCTCTTGACAGCATTTCAGCTCACTAGCTTGCAAACTATTTGGTCATTGCAGCTAAAAAACATACTAGCTAGAATTCATGCCAAAAAAAAACGACGTTTTCTGTCCAGATATTTGCAATTTGCCAAGCCGTAAACTAGTACGTTAACTCCCTAGCCGATTAAACTCAAGGATTTACGATGGAGACTTGGGCGGCAACTAGTGTGGGCGGACTGGAGCTCCGACATCACATAAAAGGACGTTTTTATTTAAAACTACTGATTTCATCAACGAAAGAATATCCTACAATTACACATAACAAAAACGTAATTTATCCCCACACTAGTCGCCGCTCAACATCTTTAATCATGTAGTTGAGTTTAATCGGCTAGTAACTCCCAAGTCTGGTGCGGGGAATGATAACGTTAGCCTAAAACTGTTAAATTAGGTCACTCTCTTTAATGAAATACTGCAGAGTTTATGTACACAACTAGAAGTAGATCCACTTTCCATTCATCCAATTATAAATAGTTTGGTTTTAAAACTGAATAATCGTTTCCAAACAAACTAGCAGATTGACTGAATTTGCATGATGTCTATGTTGTTTTGATAAATGTTATTTTTCTTTAACCTATTGTCCACATCAAGAGTTGAAGAGAAAATTGAAAGTTTTGACAAGGCCAAGGTAAGTTATCGATGCACTACTCACTACAGGCATAACCTATGTGTAATGTCCTCATTCAAATATTTTTCTTCCAGTGGCATTAATGTTGAAAACATCAAGATTGATGGGCCTCTTCTACAGATCCTTTTTGCAAACAATAGCATCTCAAAGTAGGTATTTTTTTGGTTTCTTAGTAAATCACAACTTTATTTCAATGTTCTATGGGTATTAACATGTCAACTGTTCATCTTTTCCCAGGCAATGCCGTCAAGAAATCGAAGACTCCATCTGTAGTATTGTTCAGAAACATCAGCAGCAAGGAGAAGTTGAAAAAGGAAATCCCTCCGGCAATGTCAACCCTCAGGTACATTTTCAGATTTGGAGATGGTCTTCCTCAAGCTTCAAAGAATAAAAAATGTTTTACAGGGAAACATTTTCACATCTGTTTTCTTCCACATGCAGTCTTCAAGTTTCATTATGGAAGAAGATCAGAAGACCAAGACCTGTGGCATCAAAAAGATGAAGGAGGCCTTCAGTGTGGGTGTTTTTTTGGAATGAGGACAATCTAGGTGTCCCCTGCATGCCTTATGAAATGCAGCATTTGCATTTGTTTGTCTGGATATATTTGTCTCGCTCTCTTTTCACAGATGGTGGGAAGTGTCCTGTATTTCACTAGTTTCTGTCTGGACAAACTTGGACAGCCCCTGCTTAATGATAACCCCCAGCAGACAGAAGGATGGGAGGTTCCAAAGTATCCTCAACACTGCTTGCTCTACCCTCTGTGGACAGCCCTGTGTCCTTCAGTCGCTTCTTCAACCTTTTCCTAAAATGACACATTTCAGTGTAGAATCCAGCTTTGGTTGTTGGAGAACATCAACTGGAAAGAAATCTCACGCTTTGAACTATTATATTTTCTGTCTTTAATTGTATGTATTAATGTACATGGGAGTCGGTATATGAGTAAAAAAAAGTTTGCTATGTCTTGTTACGCACTTTGAAACTACAGTTGCATAATTTTATTGAGTTCCTGAATTGTTGCAAAGATATCAGCAGGTCTTCAGCCAGGTCATCGCCTTAGATGGACAGGAAGTACAGATGAAAGAGAAAAGGTATAGCAGAGATTTTGTTTTTTATGCGGGAAATATCTGTAAATTATGACTATCTTATTGTTCTTTTTGTGCCCACACTACAGACCTAAGCCTTGTTGTTTCAACTGTGGGTTGGATGGTCATCAACTTCGAGACTGTCCTCAGGTAAGCCTTGAATATCATTTGACTTTAATATGCATCTTATAACACGAAAGTTGTTTACTTACCATGGGCAGACAGAAGAGCTTAAAACCAGGTTTGACACGTGATCAACAGCTCTGTTCATTTGCTCTCTTAGCCAAAGGACATGGCCAGAATCAACGAGAAGCGGAAGGAGTTTTCTCATGGTAACCAGGGCAACCTGAGCAATCAGCGTTACCATGCTGAGGAAGTGGAGGAGCGATTTGCCAGATACAAACCTGGAATCGTGAGGCAAGGCACATTTGAAAATGTCTGAAGGCACTGACACAAGAAGAAACTAATTTGTTTTCAGTTGTTATTGCATGGTCAAAGTGAAGTTGTAGAACTAGGGTTTTTGGTATCACAAATCTCTTACCCATTGCTTGTGTTTCTGGCATTGAGCAGTGAGGAGCTGATGTCTGCACTGGGAGTTGATACGAACACCCTACCCCCTCATATCTACCGCATGAGGCAGTTAGGCTACCCACCTGGCTGGCTTAAGGAGGCAGAGATGGAGAACTCAGGTCTCATGCTATATGATGGGAAGGGTAAGATTTCACCCGGAGAGACCATAACCACCTTACCAAACACTTGCCTTGCAGTTTTGGTTGAATCACTGATCTTTCATGATTCTTAATTAATATTGGGCTGCTGTGTATTTAAACTTTGTTCACCCTTTATAGTGTCAAATGCTGGAGAACTAACAGAGGAGGACAATGGACAAAGCATTTCCTATGATGTTTCCAAGCTAGTAGATTTCCCAGGCTTCAATATATCTGCACTACCTAGTGTGAAAGATGTAAGTCTTCTTGAAATCAGTTTGCTGGCCATCATTAGGGTACAAGCATACCAATCTTTGCCACCACTTGTAGACCTTTGCAACCAACATTTTCCCCCTGACTTTTAGGACTACAGGCTATACGGCTCTATTCCAATACAACATAACCATATGAAGCAGAATTTTGCGGACTATCTGTCCAACAATTTTCCAATGGTAACTACCATTCTCCTATTCCACTTTTTAATCAATTGTTTGTCCACTGTATGTGTGCACACTATAAACGAATATATTTTGCCAATAGCCTGGTGCCAACTGCAATAAGAGACTGCATGAATCCGAATCAACTCCCCGGCAGACGAAGAAAAGGAGATCTGATGCCAGGAGTTCAGATATGGACGTTGATTCAGGTAGCGGTGTTATTATTCCAGGTGTCTGAACACAATGTGAAAACAATTACTCTATCGCAACCAGCAGATACATTCTGCTTTTCACTGTCATTATGACTAGTCGGTCGGTCTGTCTGCAGAAAACAATAGTCACTTATGTTGTGTGTGCAATGGCCTTGCTCTGGCAGTGCATAACGCTTGTCAGTGTCTGTTTCCAGACCAGGATACTACACCCCGCCGCCACCGGAGCTCAGACAGCTTCCAGTTCCAGCCCCCGCTGCCCCCTGGCTCGCCATCCTTTGGTTCACCCCCTCCCTTACCTCATGGTACACCACCAGCCACTCCCACTCCACCCCCTCTTCCTAAGGGAACACCTCCCCCCACGCCCACTAATGGTTCACCGGCTCTGCGGGGACGCACTGTGGGAGTGGGTGAGGAGTCTGCAGTTGGGGAGGAGGAAGAGCTGACACTGGAGGAGCTGGAGGAGCAGCAGAGGCTGATTTGGGCTGCATTGGAAAATGCTGACACCACCACCAACAGTGACTCTGAGACACCAGCTGTTGGAACACCCCTCCCCAGCTCGCCCAGCGTCTCCACACCCGCCCAAGTCGACACTGAAACTGAAATGGAGGAAGGTGAGGCTGAAGATGAGGAAAAGGAGAGATCTGTGGAGGTTTCCAGCCACAACAGTGATGAGCAGATCAGTGTTGATCCATCTTCTAGCAAGTGTCAGGATGATGAGGAAGATGCTGAAGATAAAGGCAAGGTGATTGAAGACGAGAGCAGCTTGCTGAAAACACCAGTCCAAGAGGAGAGCCCTATGAGCCCTGAAGCTGCTGCAGATAGAGGCAATGTGCTTGCACAGAGGCCCAGCTTGCTGCAAACACCAGTCCAACAAGAGAGCAGTCAGCCAAACCCTTCAGATCAGGATGCTATCGAGGGAGATCTGTCCGACTCTGTGGGGAAGGTAACAGCCGTGCCTCACCGGAGTAGGTTTGCACAGGGCATTATTCCCTTTGAGGACACGCCAGAATTCACTGAGGTTGCTGAGGCCACCGGGACATACCTTAGAATCCGAGACTTGCTGAAAGGTTCCCCCCGAAATATGGCGAAAAACAAAAAGTGAGAAAAGACTGGCTTGAATTAAAATCCAGGGATTCTTTTGCATAAACATTTTTTTTATTTTTTTTATTCTGTGGATTTCATACATTTCTATAAGTGTGCCACAGAAGTTGGAGCTGAACAGTTTATTGACCCGTCATTCAAACCTCTTTTTAATGGTTTATTTTTTTTTTTACCAAAACGAATGTATTTTATGCGTATGAGTTAGCTGTGGTCTATAAAGACGCAAGGTTTCTTAGAATACTTTTTATTTCAGGAAACCCCATAAGCCAGTTTTGGCGTGTCAGTTTTGCCATTCACATAAAATCATTTTTGTAGCAATGTTAACATCCATATTGCTCTTTTAGGTGTAAAGATAAGATTTTATAAAATGTTTTTCCTCTTCTGTTTTTACCATCAATAGATCATTTTTCTATGACTCATTGCATTCTAGGCGCGCCTCTTCTCATGGTTCAAGTAGCCTCCCATTGGCTACTCTTATCAAATAAGGACATTCAACTCGATTTTAAGTTAATTTGAAACTCGATTGGATTGTTGAGGTGATTTTAACTGGATTTTTACAATTCTATCTTGACACAGGAAATCGGTCTCTTCATTCAGAATCTCACTACAGCAGTATGGCTCTGCTTAATATCGCACGTTTATTTATTTTTAAAGTAACAACCATTGTACATGTTTTTGTCAGCATTATAGACTTGGGTCAGCATCTGGTCATTGCTACTACAGAATGGCACTAGAGAGCAGCAAAACTTAATTTGACAGTTTCAGGTAACAACAATAAATTTGACTAAGAACAACATGTCTCTAGAGGAGAAGAGTGTCAGAGGAGATCGGCCAACTCTTTACTAAGGGGGCAATGGTTTGTTTTCGTTAGGTTTGTTTTCGTTATTCCAAATTGGACTGTCATTGTAGTTTTGCCATTTGAAAGTCTGAATGAAACGTACACAGTATGTGGGAAGGTTGCATGCAGTAAAATCATTTCTCAAGTTTCTGTTATTAAATATTTCAAGATTATAAACCATTTGGAGGGCTGGTTTTAAGGGTTGTGCTCGATGGAGACTGGCCAAAATTAGATATAGAAATGGACTGTTGGTCTGAAGCATTGTCCCATTTCTTGACTACCCGCCCTGCTCTAATATAGCCTCCCTTTCATTGCAGAAATTATTGATCTGTACACTGTGTTTGGATGGATGCGAATTTGAAATTGTTCAACTGTTCTTGCCAGTCAAACCATGTAGGCACGTTATTAGAAAAGGACCCAACTCTTACCAGAATTTGAATGGTAAAAGGAAGCAAGTTCAACAACGGGTTTTAAAATCAGTTCAGATAAAGAACGGGTACAGGGAATCGAGCAACTGTACTTGATTGGCAACCTTTTGCCTATATGGAAAAAATATTTATTTTATAAAAATGACATGCTCAAAAATTTTAATCTGAGCAAATGGTCCTAATTAAAATGTATACATCATATTCACCCTGAATAACAACATTTTGACTGAGAATAGCAATAATAATGCAAGTTTAGTAAATTGATCTTATGACCTACTGCGTGTTCGTATAAGAATTCGGGTAACTTATTGTTCAATTTGTGGTCTAGTAGTAGCTTCTTTTTTAATGTCTAAAGGGGCGAGACCATTTTACGTCATTGCATCGCTCAATCAGCACCTCGAACGTGAGTCCGTCGGTCGCGGAACACAAGGCTTCGGTTGGGGAGAACTCAGCAGTATCTGTGGGATTGTTTTTATCTAGCTTTTCGTCAAAGAAACGGTTCATACGAGAGTTCTACAGGTAAGGATTGGTGGAAAGACTTGCATCCGTTATCTCACGTTAGCTTTATGGGTAGCCGGGCGGGCCCTCAGCCAAGTCAAGGAGCCGACAACCCACGGAGAAAAAGGGAGTTGCTAAGCGCCAGTTTAGCTCACCGCTACCTCGTTGAGCCGACTGAGGAGGTATAAGAAGCCAAGCCAGCCACTACCTGGGCCTTCAAGGCTAGCTAGCTAACAACCTATAACTAACCACATATTTTCAGCATGTTTTGACTTGGAGATATGTTAACAGAAGACCTGATTTTTATACTTTTTTTCATAAGAGATCATAAGCGCTAGTTTTCAAGACCGGTTGTCAGTCCGCAGGGGTGACATTGCAGTGTGATGCCGTCTACTAGTACTAGCTAACGTTAGTTTCCCTAGTAACGTAAACGGCAAGCCACATTGTCAGTGTGCTATGTTTGTGTGGCTTAGGAAAGCTAAAATAGTATGAAAACCTAGCTATTAGGTAGCTAACTTTTTCGGAACGCCCTTTATTTGTCACTGTTTTATTCTCGAAACTTCATGATAGTGATTAAACTTATTTGACACATTTTCCAATCTCTGCTCACAGCGAGGCTGTTTTCTCAAGTGGAATGATAATTTACCAGCTAGCCAGCTGAGTTGGCAGGCACAGGCCTGGCAGAGTATAGCTACTAATGTTAGCTAACTCGCTTGTCGTTTTTTTGTGAGACGATCTACTAGCTAGTGTTTAACACATTTGGATTGTTAACCCAATCGAGTTTTCTTGAACTTTTCTTGAAGTTCGCTTCATAACGCCTTTCGAAGGTACTGTCAAACGATGTCCAGATGTGCCACCTCATCGACCACACTGAAAACAACACACTGGAATGGCAACGCGTCAGTGAGAATATGACACGTGGGAAATCTCCCAGGGAACTTTTCGAATAGACGATCGTAAAATCTTTCACCTTTACTATCCCATGATTCATGAAGAACAACGTAAACTAAACGAACCATATGTCTCGGTCAGCTTGCTTATTTATACCTTGCTAGCTCACTTCAAGGAAAAGCTATTCAATGGTGGAAAAGTACCCAATTGTCATACTTGAGTAAAAGTAAAGATACCCTAATAGAAAGTGACTCAAGTGAAAGTGACCCAGTTTTAAATATACTTAAGTATCAAAAGTAAATGTAATTGCTAAAATATACGCAAGTATCAAAAGAAAAAGTGAAAGTATAAACAATTTCAATTCCTTACATTAAGCAAACCTGACGGCATTATGTTCTTGTTTTTAATTTAGGGATAGCCAGGGACACATGCCAACACTCGGACATAATTTACAAACGAAGCATTTTTTTAGGGAGTCCGCCAAATGAGAAACAGTGGGGATGTCCAGGGATGTTCTCTTGATAAGTGCGTGAATTGGACCACTTTCCTGTCCTGCTAAGCATTCAAAATGTAAGGAGTACTTTTCGGTGTCAGGGAAGATTTATGGAGTAAAACGTACATTATTTTATTTAGGAATGTAGTGGAGTAAAATATTCTAACATGGTAGTGATTGAAATCACTTGATACTTTGTACCTAAACTCAGGTCAAGGTAATCTATTCTGTGAAGGAATTAATTACATTTTAATTTTCGTTTCAAATCGCCAGTTTGCAACCCATCCCTTACGTTACGGGATTAATTGACGCAAACAAACATTAAAATGATTGAGAGTGATACTTCTTCCGGTGTTCTAGTCAGTGCACACAGCATAAAGAATGAAAATAAATCAATACATAATGGTAGATTAAGGTTATCTAAGCAATAATAATAACTCTAGAGTAGTAGAACATTTTAAAAATAAATTAATAATACAGAAAAATTAAACCGAAGACCTGTGTAAACAATCTGTGATCTTGAGTTGGTTTCAGTGCTTGTTTGACACTGCTCATGCTCTTAGTGGAAATTCTTCACTAATGATTAAACGATAAACCTGTTTGGGTAACATTTGATCATGAAAAATCATCTGCCTAGTTTTTGGCCTCATATAATTGATAGAGTTCAGCAAAACTGAGAGTACTTCAGGCTTAGGTTTCTTTTTATGCTCGGATCAAAGTCCACCAACAAGGCTCAAGAAGTTTGGCCTTTCCCGGTAACAGAAGCAGGGACACCGATCAAGGTTTATTTGACCTTATGTTCTCCTGTGTCCTGTGCCAGGCTCAGTGGTGGTGGATCTGATATCCTGCTCTCAGCCCCCAGCGCTGTACTCTGCAGAGGCAGCCAGGCCCTTCATATACTCAGGGGAAAGGAGCTCAGGCAGGGTTTAGGTTGCCTACAGTTAACCTGGTTTCCTCACTTCTTGGGCATTTTGTGTTTGGTATTGGACCTTCTCTGAAAACTAATTTGAATTGCTAGACTAGAGCAAGATAAGTAACAGAAAAAGTGTGCCAATGAGCTTACCATTTATTATTGAATGATATCAATGGCATTGAGTCTGGTGTTTGACTACCATCTCTGATTTACAGCAAAACCATGTCATCAACACACTAACATAACATACCACTACAAGCAATTAGTTTACAGTTTAATTGTTTTCACATGGATCTGCTAAATGTTAAAACAAACCAGCCAGGCTTGTTTGACCTCATATTTGTTTAATCTTTTGATTCAAGAAACAACTGGCTGTCTTATACTCCTGCTTTGCTCACTGTACTACTGATGTTTTAGAATTTAGAGAATCCCAAACTGAGCTGTCTGATTAGGCTATTGTTTACGATGTATGAAGTTGCACTTAGCATATTGTATATTCTCTGAAGGTCAGTTGTCACTTCTATGTCTGCCCTCCCTATAAAAAAGAACAGTTATTTGGAATGACAAGTAAACACAACAATGCTTCTATTTGAATGTCTTAAAGTTTAGGCAAATACATTTTTTTAAAATAAAAAAGTAAATTCAATGCTGGAGGAAAAATGTGACTAATGATTAGCCTATTTCACAACTAAGCCATGAAAACAAACTTTTTTGGGGGTGCATTAGGCCTAACTCAGCTCTAGCTCTATAAGACAAGTGCAGAACAAGGCTGCTTGTGTTCGTGTTGGCCTGTCAGAGGCTGTAAGTGGGGAGGTATTGGGGGTGGCAGGACCCTGCCTTTTTGTTAACAGCTAATGAACTGTCTGGGCTCCTCACACCTCCTGCTGCCATCACTAAGGGGGCTATATAATGACCCCAGCAGATGTTTCCTCAAAGAGAAGAGCTGGAGCATGCCTTTAGTGCACTCAGTGTGGTGGGGGGCAACAGGAGTGTGTTTGTTTCGAATGTGTGATGTGTTGTTCACACTTCCTACAGTGGAACAGTGTACAATATTGGGAAGAGATAAGGGAGATTTGAGGGAGGACAGGGACATAGTAGGCCTTATGATTGGGCAAATTGCCAAGAAAACCTATGAGTGCAGAGGGCACACAGCTCAGCTCCTGCCATTGTTTGTGATTATAGCCACTCGCCAGGGCAGGTGCACGAGTCAAGACTAGTCAAGTGCTATTCAATAGCTGTCTTTTAGACCAAGATCCTTGAGTCCCATGCTGAGTGTCCCTGCATATCCCTGAATCTCTTTTTCAGCATGCCATTGTTAACCACACAAAGCATATAGGGCACATTGTTTTTTCTGCACTTTGATTTCCCACAGCTTCATGTTTGTTACAGCACCCCACAGAATAAAGTAGTAATAACATGGTTATAGTATTGTAACAAGTTATAGTTACAATGAAAATATTAGGTTATTTGCCCTGATATTCTTTCATTCCATTATAGGCCTAATTATATTCTTGGTCTTTTCTTGGGAGGGATATCGGCCAGGAATATGCATCAATACACTAGCAACACTGGCATTTCCATTGAAACACTGATGGGAATAACAGCTTGCTTAGTAAAAGGTTGAATGTGACAGCCCATTGCATTGCTATTGTGGTGCATCTAATGCAGAGAAAAGTGGGACTGTGTTCCCTGGAACATATATTTTGACCTTGGGCTTGGATTTAAAATGCCTGCTAGAACTTTATTATTTTCACCTACATTTGTATTGGACAAGGTTGGTTAGGCTACTTTTAAAACTGTTCAAGTAGTCTTGCCTGATTCTTTTACATTCCACAACCAAAGTCTGTGGTAGGGTTGAATATTTCCCTTGTATTTAAAACATGTTCCATCCCGAGAAGAATAAATCACTTTTCTCCCGGGTAACCCAGTATTTCCCTCTAAAACCGGAAGTGTCATTCAAAGCATTATAAAGCATATAAATAGGCCTATGTCTGGATTTGATTAGAGCTTTTATCGGAACTGTAAGCCTGATGCTACCTGAGCCTGATGAGCCATACATTAAATACATTTAATGAGCCCAAGCCCAAAAAAGCCCAAATGATTGTGCCGTTATCC